GCTCTACCAAATATTAGCTTTTTTGATCTTGACCAAATGATGCTCACCATGAGACCAATTTCCCTATATGTAATTATTACATATTTACATATATGAAGGAGAATTATTAATATCTCCTTCATAGGGATTATGCGAGAATTGGATAAAATACCACACTTAGTAGAGTGACATAAATACAGAATGATCGTTATTTGTTAGTTCTCATTGCATCCACATTTCCTTTATCTTCTGCAACTTTTTCAAGGACTTTCAACTTCACTCTCAGATGTTTTTAATGAAGAGAAGGTCAAACACTCAGAAAAAATTTAGAATTATAATAACTTATGAATTAGTATTCAATACTTTAAAACTTGGTCTTTCTTCTCTCCTAATTTCTCTATTTACCAAGATTCTACTAACCATAAGAGTAAAGAAGATAATAAGCTGTATTTATGAGTTGAGACAATTCATGCCAGAAAACAAAATTGTTCAAAGTATGAGCTCTGATTTCCTATACAGAAAAAGACGACAGTGAGCTTTTACTTTATGTCAGACACCACTGTAAGCACTTTACACACATTATCTCATAGAACCCCAACAATAGTTCCGTGATAGGTACCATTATCACCCATTTTTACAAATATGGAAACTCAGGTATAAAGACTGAGGAACTTGCCCAAGATCATATAGTTAGCCAATAGAATAGGTAGCAAAACTCTTACTCTTAAGCATGATTCAGATTTGTATTATTAAAGAGCAATTTCTCTAACCTACATGTGTCTATCCAAGGGCATTAACAGAAGAATAGCAATTTTGTGATGACTTAGATATTTTCATATGTTATCTTGCTCAATCCTCCTATAACTGTATCAGACTCTGACTGGGTCATGCACCTATACTCCAACGACTAGAAGATTTTGTGCCTTGGGTCCTAGACTGTAAGATCACTTCCTAAATACAGTCATAGAAAGGTTGCAAACCCAGCTCAGCTGGCTCTCCCAGGCCCCCTTAGTCACAGATGCTATGGCCACAAGGGAGAAAGGATAAACTGGTTTGGCTGCCATCTTCGTTGAAATTGTTAATTCTAATCCTCTAGGATTTGAGAGATCAGAGCCTCCTTAACTCCTTGCACTTGAATGATACCCATTTACATATTTCCCTGTAACCACAAGTGGAAATATTGATAAAGACAGACCTGGGAAGACTGTCTAAGCAAAACCAGTCACAGAACCCATTTGGATCCAGACACCCAAGGACCAAAGGAGACATCTCTGGGCTGAGCACAGGCTTACCAAGAAAAAGGCTTAAAAGAATTAGCTTCAGACACTTGCCACTCCAAGATAACTATCATTTGTTGCTGATTTTATGGTGCTTACAATCTTTAATTTTTCTGCTTTAACACAGTTCATTATTTTCAGGGATTTAAATTGGGCCAGATCTCAAATCAAGTGGCTTTTAAATATACTTTACATGGCCACCAAGAAAAAACTGGCAAATGTGTAGTAAGGTGGCTTAGAAAGAGAAGTCCTCCAACAGTTAGGTTATTTTCCATCAATTTCTTTTAAAGCCAAATGCTTTGGAAATTGTCTGACTAAAGAAATTCATTATCTGAACTGAGACGCTTGTGCCTCACACACAGAGGATGGTGTGACCCTATAAAGCAAACACAAACTCAGGCCATGAGCTCAGCATTATTTCGGAAGTCATTCTTAGCAATCATTTTCAAGTCACTAAATGAGGAAAAGATATATTATACTTAAGACAAAAATAGATGAAACTGCAAAGCAGTGTTAGTGATGGGTCCGTGATTGCTACCTCCACAAAAAAAGTGCTCTACAAATAAGATGCCTAAGTGTGAAATGAACCTGCTACTTCTGTCATAAATGCATTCAGAGAGGTAGGTATAATCTATGATTTCTTTGTTAGTATTTTTTTCCCAGGATGATAATAGTCTTCAACTTACAGGTGAGTTAGATTTAAACCATTGTTTCTACTGTCACAGATTTTTATGAATAATGACCAACATATTCAGTCTTCTATGAAAAGTGGTCATTCAAGATATTATGAACCCAGACCTGAGATAAGAAAATAAAATTTCATTATTAAATTATTTTACTTATTATAAAGGTAATATATTCTATCTGTAGGAAACTTGGATCAGAAAATTTTCAAAAGAAGAATGCAAAAATAGCTCTTAAATTATAATTCAAACAAGCTCTGTTAGTCATCAGTACACTTTCTTCAGATACTTTTCTATGTATATATGTGATTTGGGACAATTTAGGTCATAATAATTGAACCATTTTATATCACGTGTTTTTCACTCAATGTTATATTGGAAGACTGTTTCCATACTATTAATTCTTCTTGCGAATAACTTAAATGTCCACCTGATATTTACTAAGCATATTTCACTTAAGTGTTCTTTTCTATGTTGACATTTGTGGTGTTTTCACTTTTTCATTATCATAAAAACATTGTGAAATACAACCTGTATGCTTAAGTTTGGTCCATCTTTTTTATCTAGAATAGATTCCCAACCATGAGGAGTATTGGACCAAGAGACATGATCAGTTATAAAGCCCTTATTATATACAAACTTATTTCCAGAATATTTTATGTCAACACACACTCACCAACCCCGGACAATATAACTTGTCATAAATCTTTCCAGTTTTACAGTTAAAAGTATTTCATTGTTTTTAACCTATATTTCATGACTTTGACTATGACGACTTATGAAATAGAGGATTTTTAGGTGTTTAATGTTTCTTCTGAATGTTATCTTTTTGTTAGTTGTTCCCTTATTTTTATAATGGTGTGGGTACACCCTTTTTTTTGTAAAAACTATTTCTACAATAATGGTAATCTGTTATACTTGTTGCAAGTATTTTTCCAGTGTGTTCCATATCTTTATGTAGTTGAATCCATTAGTTTTGTTCTGTGTTTTATACCAATGCATTTTGCTTAAAATACCCTTCCCCATCCAGAGATTAGCTTTATATTTCTTTCTTTCCTTTTTTTTATGGAACAGATCTTCCTTTTATTTGAAGTCTTTAATATTCACTATTCTCTCTCTTTCCTTCCTCCCTTCCTCCCTCCCTTCCTTCCTTCCTTCCTTCCTTCCTTCCTTCCTTCCTTCCTTCCTTTCTTTCTTTTTCTTTCTTTCTTTTTTTGTTTGGTGATGGCATGAAGAGAAGACTTACCTTATTTTGAAAAACACCTATCCAGTTATTGAAAAATCTTTTATGAACTACACATAACATTATTTTAAATATTCTCTAAAAATAATATGCTTTTGCAATCTGACCATATGTGCTTCTCATCAAGCTTATCTGTCCTCATTTGTTTTATTTGTATTTTTAAAATACTAAAAAGCTTTTGAATTTATTTATCAGTCTAGTATTTTTCTATTGTCTCATGTATTTATTTCTGCATTCAACCATTTTCTGAATATAATTGATTGCTTTTCTAATCTCTTGAGTACTTAGTTCACTTCTTTTCTCTCTTCATCTATCTTCTTTCTTAATATTAGAACAATAAAATATTTCAAGGATAAGAACGCTATCTGGATTTTTTTCACTTTTATTCTTTTAGTAAGAATTTGGAGTGTGTGGAAAGTCATGCATTTTACCTTTAGGATAAAACTTTGACCTATGTAATAATGATATTCTTCAATTCCTCTGTGCCATGTATTATTTTTCCAGTTAATATATGAGAATGTTTAGGCACAGTAAAACTAAGTCTGTATACAACATGACATGGCTACTAATCAATGACAACAGAGTAGAAAAATCATCTGACTGTAAAGAACACACACTGACAAACAAATTATGACATTTTTGTTTCCTCACCTTAAAAGTATCTGTTTTCTAAATAGATCCAGAGAATTTTTGATACTCTTCCTTAAGTTGAGTTTTGATTTGCAAAATGCCCTTGACGCCTAAACATGACAGAAGTTCTCCAACTAGTGAATTCAAAAGTTTTAAATAAATCTGGGGAATTGCCTTGCATCATGCTGTCTGTTTTATCCTCTTCAGGATATCCTTTTACTTTTTTTTTAAAGATTGGCACCAGAACTAACATCTGTTGCCAAACTTTTCTTCTTCTCCTTCTCTTTCTCCTCCTCCTCCTTCTTCTTCTTCTTTTCCCCAAAGCCCCAAGTACACAGTGGTATATTCTAGTTGTAGGTATTTCTGGTTGTGCTATGTGAGACGCCACCTCAGCATGGCCTCATGAACGGTGCTAGGTCCATGCCCAGGATCCAAACTGGTGAAACCCTGGGCTACTGAAGCAAGTACATGAACTTAATTACTCAGCCATGAGGCCAGCCCCTTTTGCTTTCTTTTATGATGGTATTATTAGGCAATTCTATTTGAATGTAGTGTAAGCTCGCACTCTAACTGCCAGGCAAGCCTCCTAGAGCCTCAAACATTCACTTAGTTCAATTTTTCTGGAGTGTGACTACATCATCCTTAGTTCCAAATTGAATTTATGTAATGTTTTATATTGACCCTGAAAGAAGTTAAAAAAATAGAAGGAATAACAAACTCTCCAGCATAGCCTCATCATCATAAGTGACTGGTGAGAGACATGGGGGTGTAGGCTCTTGAATTCAAGCCCCTGCTCCTCCCTAAAGGTCCTCTTTTTATTCCTGTTTTTCTAACGGGGGAAATGTTATGGCAATTGATGAGACAATATCCATTTATGTACAATTACAAGAAAGTGCCTGGCATGTCAAAAGTCATAAAACCATGCTGTGCATATGAATGAGTGTCTGTGCATGGCCGGGGTGGGGAGGGGTGGGGTGGGAGAAGAGGGTTATGTGTTCATTATGTAACTAATAATATGGCCCAACTTTAAGTCTTGGGTTTACCTGTTTGGGGTTTCCATCAGATTTACAGAAAATAATCCTGACAGAAATTATTTGCTTGATCAAAATTTACCTGCCACAATTGAATTTCCTGTGTTATTCACAGATAAATCAATTATCCATATGCCAAACAAGATTCATGGAGTGAATGAACAACGTGACAGAATTCATCCTGCTTGGCCTGACACAGAGCCCAGATGTGTGGAAACTCATGTTTCCTGTGTTTACAATCATCTACTTTCCCACTGTGGCAGGCAACCTACTCATTGTTGTGACGATCACCACGAAACGAACTCTGTGTTCCCCCATGTATTTTTTCCTGTCTTTCTTATCCTTCATAGATGGCTGCTGCTCCTCTACTGTGGTTCCCAAAATGATATATGACTTACTTGCAGAAAAGAAAACCATCTCCTTCAGTGAGTGCCTGACTCAGCTCTTTGAAGAGCATTTCTTTGGAGGAGTTGAGATCATCTTGCTCACAGTGATGGCCTATGACCACTATGTGGCCATCTGCAAGCCCCTGCACTACACAATCACAATGAACAGGCGAGTGCGTGGCTTCCTGGTGGCCATCGCTTGTTATGGGAGATTTCTTCATGCTCTGATTCAAATTCTTTTTATCGTCTGGTTGCCCTTCTGTGCTCCCAATGTCATTGATCATTTCATCTGTGACCTTTTCCCTCTGCTAAAACTCTCCTGCACTGACACTCACATCTTTGGACTTTTTGTGGCTGCAAACAGTGGGCCGATGTGTATGCTCATTTTTTCTATTCTTATCTCCTGCTATATCCTCATCCTGTGCTCTCTAAGAAGGCACAGCACTGAAGGACAGCAGAAGGCTCTCTCCACCTGCACCTCCCATGTTACTGTAGTCATTCTATTATTTGTCCCCTGTATATTTGTGTACCTTCGGCCCATGATCAACTTCCCCATTGATAAAGTGGTGGTTGTGTTTTATACTATGCTAATGCCCATGTTAAACCCTTTAATCTACACTGTCAGAAACTCAGAGGTAAAAAATGCCATGAGGAAGCTTTGAAGACACAGAGTAATTTTGGGTAACAATCCATGTGACTAGAGAAGATAAAAACACAATCATTTCATGTTTTAAGAACAAGTGTGACTAATAGAAAGGATAATGATCTTGAAGTCAAAATATGTGACGTTAAGTATATCTTGCTCCACTTCTTTCTGGAATATTTAATGACTCCTCTTTTATAACATATCGATATTTGATTAAATGATGACTAATGTCTCCTCCAATTAAAAACTTCTTTGTGTTTACAAATTATTGATCAAATGGACATTGGTAAATGTCAAAGTGTGTGGAAAATCTCTGAATTTATGTATTCAGTAAAACAATTCTCTGTAAAGCTACAGGTATAGATTATATAACCAATAGGCCAAGTTATTAAAGTATTTAGACAAAAGGCTTAATGGCAAAGTATTTTATTGAAAATGCATAGTTTTGATCCCAACTACTGTAGTAAAGGTAGATTTATTATTGTGAGAGATAGAGATCAACTAGAAATGAATTAGTTTTGAGGAATGAAAGAGTCATTCAGGCAAGATTCATCCCGAAGTTAGTTCTGCTGTGTTCGCACTTCCAGGAGGCACCACTTATATTGTAATGTGGGCTATTCCCAGAATAAATTATTTCATCTGTCTGAAGCCAAGGAGATATATACAATTCATCCAGGCATACTCAGAGAGCAGTCTTGCATGTGACTTCCCAGTCAGTAGAGCATTATTTTTGTCAAAGACATCCTGGACACCACTTCACCTCCAAAGTAACTTTTATTGGACAGATTTATGCCTTAGCTAAGAGAAATAAAAGTATCAGGCACAAGGGCCCGGCCTGGTGGCATACTGGTTAAGTTTGCAGACTCGACTTCAGTGGCCAGGGCTTTGTGTGTTTGGATCCTGGGTGCAGCCCTAGCACCACTAGTCAAACCATGCTGTGGTGACATCTCACATAAAATAGAGGAAGATTGACATGCATGTTAACTCAGTAACAATCTTCCTCAAGCAAAAAAACATAAGATTGGCAATAGATGTTAGCTCAGGGCCAGTCTTCCTCACACACACACACAAAAGTATCAGGCACAAAAGAGAGAGTTGATGATATCTGTGTAATCAAGACAGAGAGTCTGCATATTCAAATTTGAATAGAAAATTTCAGACTAATTGCAGACCAATGAGATGGGAAATAATTTGAGACACAGAACCAGTGCAATTTTAAGAGAAAGAACCCAGATAAAGGAATGGGATCCAGATCTGGACCAGGACAGAAGTCCTGTAAATCTTAGTAATTTCACTTCTACCTTCAAGAGGGCTGAATTACTCCATAGTCATGCCTGTATTTTATGTTAAGTATATATTCCATACAGACTAACACTTGATGGTTTAGTATACAATCTATTCTGAATGGGAGATCACATTTTCTCAAACATAGCCAAACCATTTGCTGATCACTAATAATCCATTTGCTAGTACCATATTTTCCAGTCCCCTTGTTTGTAAGTGGGACCATGTTTGCAGAAGTGATGGGTATCACACTCATACTGAAACATTTAGGAACCAGTGTGTTACTCTCCAGCTTTCTTTTTACTTGCTGCAGCAAGCATGGAAGACAAAAAATAAGATGGTAGGGCCACCCAGTGGAAGCAACTTGGATTACTGAGTAACTACATTGAATAGAGCTGCCCTAAAAGATCACATAAGCCTCATTGGATTAGACCAGAATGAGAAATAAAATTGTATGTGTTGAGCCAATGAGAATTCAGAATTCACTTGTTAAAACAGAAAAATGCAGCTAATGCTCACTAAAACATTGAGTAACTATATTTTAAAAGACATCAGTAATAAGGAGGGAAAATGTTAACATCATTTTTGCAGTTATCTTGATTCTCAAATAATATAGAATGAATACATAGAAATCTTTACAAAACCAAGTCCAAATAGAGCTTTTTGGTTTTTCTAAGGTCACTTTGGTTTATAAAACTGTATAAATTTCAGGTGTGCATACCAATATTTCAAGTTCTATACAGAATGCATCATATTCACCACCAAAAGTCTAGTTTCCATCTATCACCATATATATGTGCCAATTTGTCTCTTTTGCCTTCCGCCAACTCCTTCCTTCTGGTAACCACCAATCTGCTCTCTGATCTATCTATTTGTTTATCTACCACATATGAGAGAAGTCATACGGTAATTCTTCTTTCCTGTCTGATTTCCTTTTCTTCACATAATAACCTTAAGTTCCATCCATGTTGTTACAAATGGAATAACGGTTTTTACTTCCTTTTCTTTTCTTTATCGTGGCAAGGAAGATTGGCCCCAAGCTATCATCTGTTGCCAATCTTCCTATTTTGTTTGAGGAAGATTGGCCCTGAGCTAACATCTATGCCAATCTTCCTCTATTTTGTATGTGGGTTGCTGCCAGAGCATGACTTGATGAGTGGTATAGGTCTGCTCCTGGGACTGGAACCCATGAAACTAGGCTGCCAAAGCACAGTGTGCCAAACATAACAACTACACCACCAGGCTTGCCCTAATTTTGTCTTTTTTGTGGCTAAGTAGTATTCCATTGTGTGTGTGTCTTCTTTATCCACATTTTCTTTATCCATTCATCCATGGATGGGCAATTTTTCTCCTTCAGTGTAACACACTACACTAGAAAAAATATTTAAACCATAAAATTATACACCATCTTATTTTCACCTCCACCTAAAATGTGAGGCAATATTGAAGAAAATTATAAACTAGGGTATATCAACAAAAATCATGAACTCAAATGTGAATGAGATCTTCAAAGCTTCTTGAAAAAATTTTCTGGCTCTACTAGACAGTTCCTTCTTCCTACACATTCTTCTCAGCATATGTTCAAATTTTTCAAAAATTCCTTATTACCTTTATCCCACAAATTTTCCTTTTATCCAAGGATAATACTATTCCTCCTACTAGTCAGAAAGATAGGGACCAAAAAAGAATCATTCTCTCAATATTAAGCTTCCTCATCAATAATTGTATCCATAACCCCTTTTTGCCTTCCTGTCCAAACTATCAAAATATGTGCGAAGTCTCCTTTTTAATTATAGTATATATATGTGGTTTCTGCATATAATTGCCTCCTTTCTCTCCAGATATCTTAATTCATTAATTATCATCTTTTTTTTTCTGGTCATTAATCTTTATGTTCAAACTGAACTGACACTCTCATGCAACCCAGGGCCAAAAAAGGAAATAGCACTTTCAGTTCCGATCTCAGCAACCACTTACTTCCCTCCTTTATCTATTCCCAACCTCATTCATACTCTTCTGTCTCCTACAAAATTCTCATTATTAGCTAATTTCCCGTTCCAACACACCCTTCCTTCTATAAATTAGGAGGCTTTTCCTATTGAATTCACCACCTCTTTGAAGGATTTCACCATTCCATCAACTACCAGAGTTCTCTCAAAATATCTATTAACCCTGGTAAATCTGAGGATTTGGGTCCCAGAACAATAAATTATAGAGAAGATTAATGTCCAGTTTTCTTATTATCTGCTTGAAATCAATGATCAATCAGAGTTATATGTATTCTGTATCTTTGCTTAAAAATTCTCACTATGGATCAGTCATCCTGTCTTTTCCGGCATCCTCTTGCCATGGAAGAACTCCTACCAACCAGTCAAGTTGATGAAATCCATTCTTTACATGAGTGAATAAGTGTTTCTCTTGATCCCCAAGGACTCTCACTTCTTGCTCAAAGAAGTTCTCTCAGTGGTGCATCATTTTGTGAGTGGAGAGAATGCCCATGCCTATCCCTCATCATCTCCTTAGTTAGAAGAATAGCCTGAACTCAAAGTGCCACAAAGCACACCCACCCAGATGATTCCTGGCAAGTTTGAAACCAACTGCATATCAAAGGCTGAATGAGAGGAAATGGAAGTGGAGCCTCCATCCCTTCAGTGTCTTTTACACATGAGCTTAGATGAGTGTGATTTTCTCAATCACTTCTGCATATGAGCATAATTCCTAACTCTATGACCTCATGGTTCTCCATCATACAGTAGGAGGCAAAGCTCTTTTCCCCCATACAGATTATGATACACTGACTCCTAGGCACTCACGGAAAAAATATTATATCCATACATTTTAAATCATTCAACTTGAGGGGACTGAGAATAGCTGGGAATCCCTCCTCCTAAAGCCTCTCAGTCAATCATGAATTAAAAGGTCACACCTCCCAGGGTATATAGGTATATAACCTTGACTACCGGCATTTCTATACCAAGGACAACCAAACAACATATTCCAGTAGTGTTCTCAGTGGGAAACCTTTTCCTCAGGACACGATAAGGCTTAATCCTAGCCAAAGATCAAAAACCAGCATAGTGAAAACTACAATCAGATCTTTTTATGAACATTTCACATTTACTCCATCCAAATTTAATCCCAAAGCATGCCCAGAGATATACTTTTCAATAAGGCCAAATTGCATCTTCAAAAGTGTCCTAATGATATTTATCAGTACCAAGTGGGAATAAGTAAAATTTTTTAGCTGCCATTTTTGCAAAGATTGCTTGCTAATCTTTTTAGGATTTGAAAAGACAGTTCATCAGTAGATTTCTGTTTCAAAATCTACTGAATAATTTTTTTAGATTAGTGAGGCAACAATTAAGGAAAAGGAATCATGCACAATTAATAGGTGCAGAGTACATTCTTGACAATAGTCCATGTGTTTGATTTGGTGGGGCTGGACACAGGACAGGGATTATTAAATCCATGTTTTTCTCACATTTGAAACATAACTTATCCAAGAGTGCTTACTGAAATCAGTTTTGTAGCAAGAGTCCATGACCCACAGGCTAAAAATAAACATGAAGACAATATCAAGAAAACTTATTTTATACTGCCTGTACATGTAACTGTGTATACATTTACATAATTAATGACAGTGTGATATATACACATCATCTATCACAGTGCCAAATATATTCTAGGCTCTAAATATGCATTTATTTTGTGAATGAATAAATGAAAGATTGAATAATTCCATGAAAAAGGCATGGATAGCCATATGGACTTTTAGAAGTCCAATTATGTGCTGTCTACATGAGACTCATGTAAGGCTTAAGGACACAACAAGGTACAAAGTGAAGCGATGAAACAAAATTTTCATGCTGATGGTAAAGAAAAGAGAGCAGGGGTGGCTATACTTATTACAGAGAAAATCGACTTAGGACAAAAACTGTCACGAGAGATAAAGAACGACTTTATGCAATGATAAGAGTCAGTTCACCATGAAGATATGATAATTAGAAATATATATATGCACCCAACATGGGAACACTTAAATATATTAAGCAAATATTATCATATCTGAAGGCAGAAATAAGACAGCAATGCAATAATAGTAGGAGACTCCAATACTCCATTTTCAATGATGGATAGACTGTCCAGACAGAAAACCAATACAAACACAATGGAGTCAAAGAACACTATAAGGAACACAGACCTAACAGACATATACAAAACATTCCATCCATTAGCAGCAGCATATACATTCTTCACAAGTGCATATGGAAGATTATGCAGGATAGATCATATGTGAGGGCACAAAACTAGTCTTAACAAATTTAAGAAGATTGAAGTCATACAAAGTATCTTATGGAACACAATGGAAAGAAACAAGAAATCAGTAGCAGAAGGAAAACTGGGAAATTCACGAATATATGGAAATTAAGAAAACAAACTAGGTACAACCAATAAGTCAAAGAAATCAAAAAGGAAATTAGAAAGCATCTCAAGACAAACAAAAAATTAAAACACAACATACCAAAACTTATGAGATGTGGTGAAAGAGAGACTAACAGGGAAGTTTATAGCAAAGAATACCTACAGTAAAAAAGAACAAATATCTCAAATAAGCAACCTAACATTATACCTGAAGAAATGAGAAAAAGAACAAATTAAGTCCAAAGTCAGCAGAGGAAAAAATAATAAAATTGAAGTAGAAATAAGTGAAATGGAGACCAGAAAAATAGAAAAAAAAAATGAAACTGAGTCTTTTTAAAAAGATAATCAAAATTGACAAACTTTAGCTAGACCAATTGAGAAAAAAAGAGGAAAACTCAAACAAAACCATAAATGAAAGAAGAGACATTACAACCAGAGTTACAATAAATAAGAGAATATCATTAAAAATTTTGTGCCAATAAATTGGATAACCTAGGAGAAATGGACAAATTTTGAGAAAAATTCAAGCTACACAATCTGAATCATGAAGAGATAAATAATCTGAAGAGACCAAAAATGAGCAAGGAAATTGAATCAGTAATCCAAAATGTTCCAACAAAGAAAAGCCCAAACCAGATGGTTTCACTGGTGAATTTAACTGGACATTTAAAGAAGAATTAATGCCAACCCTTCTCAAACTCTTACAGAAACTTAAAGAAAAAAGAGCACATGAATTTGTTTCATAAGGCCAACACTACTCTGTTAGCAAAGCCGAATAAAGACACTACGAGAAAAGAAAACCACAGGCCAACATACTTAATGAACATACATGCAAAAACCCTCAATGAAGTACTAGCAAACTGGATTCAAAAGCACATTAAAAGAATCATACCGCAAAATCAAGTGGGATTTGTTCCTGAAATGCAAGGATGATTCAATGTATAAAATCAATGTGTGATACATCATATTAACAGAATGAAGGATAAAAATCATATGATCAGATCAATAGATATACAAAAGTCATCTGAAAAAAAATCAATACCCTTTCATGATAAAAATTCTCAACAAACTAGAAATGGTAAGAAATTACCTGAACATAATAAAAGTGTGTATGACAGGCCCACAGATAATATCATACTCAACAACTGAACAAATTCTTTTTTCAACAACTCTACAAGTGAACAACTGAATCAGAACAAAGAAGGATTCCCACTCTTGCCATTTCTACTGAACGTAGTCCTTCAAGTCCTAGTCAGGGCAATTAGGCAAGAAAAATATATAAAAGGCATCCACATCAGAAAATAAGTAAATGTATCACTCCTTTTGGATGACATGATCTTATCTGTAGCAATAGCTAAGGATAGACAAAAAAGAAAAAACACCTGTAGGAAACAATAAACAAATTCAGTAAAACAGCAGGATACAAAATCAACATACAAAAATGTTACATTTGTATACACTAAGAACAAACTATGCAAAAGGAAGCTAAGAATAATATCAAATTTACAATAGTGTCAAAAATAATGAAATACTTAGAAATAAATTTAACTAAAAAGATGAAAGACTTGTAACTGAAAATTACAAAGTATTTGTGAAATAAGGTAAAAAGGACACAAATAAGTAGAAAGATACCCCATGTTCATGGATTGTAAATACTCAATATTGTCAAGATGTCCATCCTACTCAATGCAAACTACAGTCAATACAATCCATGTCAAAATCCCAAAAGCAACATTCACAAAAATAGAAAAAATAATCTAAAATTCATATGGAATCACAAAAACCTCATATAGACAAAGCAATCCTAAGAAAGAAGAAGAATGCTGGAGATATCATATTTCCTGATTTCAAACCACATTATAAAGCTATAGTAATTAAAACATGATGGTACTGGCACAAAAAGTTATATGATTAGTGGAAGAGAACAGAAAGCCCAGCATAAACCCATGCATTTGGATGAGACTACAGATTTTTGACAAGGGTGCCAAGAATATGTAGTTGAAAAAGAATAGCCTCTTCAAGAAATAGTGCTGAGAAAACTGGATATCCACATGCAAAGGAATGAAGTTAGACCCTTATCTTACACCATTAAAACAATCAACTCAAATGGGTTGAAGACTTAAATGTAAGTCCCGGAACTGTAAAACTCTTAGAAGAAAACATAGCAGAAATGCTTCACAACATTGGACCACGCAATGATTTCTTGGATATGACACCAAAAGTACAGGTAACAAAAGGAAAAATAGACAAATGAGACTACATCAAACTAAAAAGCTTAGGTACAAGAAAGGAAACAAGAGAATTAAAAGGCAACCTATAGAATGGGAGAAAATGTTTGCAAACCATATGTTTGATGAGGGGTTAACATTCAAAATATACAAATAACTGGTACAACTCAACTGCAAATATAGCACAATTTAAAAAATGGGCAAAGGACTTAAATAGACATTCGTCCAAAGAAGACATACAAATGGACAAGTATATGAAATGATGCTAAAATCATTAATCCACAGGGAAATGCAAATCAAAATCACAATAAGATATCACCTCATCCTTGTTAAAATGGCTATTACTGAAAAGAAAAGAGATAAGTGTTTGTGAGGATGTGGTAAAAGGGAATGCTTATGCACTGTTGGTGGGAATGTAAATTTGTACATATCCGTGTAGAACAGTATGAAGCTTCCTCAAAAAATTAAAAGAAGAGGGGAGATCTCGTCAAGATGGTGGCGTAAACAGACTCTGAACTCATCTCCTCCCACAAACACAACCAGGTTACATCTATTTTTGGAAAAATTACCCTGGAGAGAAAACTGAAAACTGGATTAAAAGAACCCCCACAACAAGGGACAGCCCTGACTAAGGAAGAAGAGGCAGAAATCCCTGTTGGAGAGGAAAAAGCCACTTTTGGGAGCAGTGGATCTTCTCAGCTGGTCAGGCGGGAGCCACCCTAAAGTACACAGCCCTCCCTGGAGGAGCGAGGTCCCGAGTAGGAGCCGATACTGCTATAAGCATACTTCAGACTCAGCCCAACTGAGATGGGGGTCTTACTGGCTGGCTTTGCTGGCTATTAACTGCAGTGAGTATACCCCTAGAAAAGCTATCAGCCTAAAGCCTAAAAGACATGGGTCTTAAAGGGCCCATGCACAAACTCACTCATTGCAGCAACCTAAAATCACCAAAGAGCAGGCTGACAGTCCTTTCTTGAAATGAGAACCACCTGGCAGGTTCTGGGGGCATCTTGGTGAGAGGAGGGACCTCTCCAGAGACTGAGACATTGGTGGGTGCCAATGTTCTGAACTGCTCCAGGCAGGCTGACACAGATGCCCATGAGCTCCAGAGAGGTTCATCACTTGGCCTGTTAGCCCAGGAGTCTGCCATGCCCACTAGTGCACAGATTTAATCCAGTTCAGCCAGGGCAGGCAACCCGCCCTAGGGACTGGCCCCACCTAACAGCAAGCCCTCAGGCTACTTTTCAGCCTGAATTGACTTGATCCTCTACAGTCATGCAAGGATGTCTGCCTCTGTGGGGCAGGGCCTGTGTGAGGACCAGGTGAACCATGGGGGGCATTGGTGGAGAGGTTGGGGACTCTGCAGTGCTGTATCAGGGTACTCTCCAGGGGGCTGAGAAGTATGCATGGACCAGGACTGTATTGACAGAGTGTGTGGTCCTGGTGGGGAGGGGAGGGTAAGACTTATCAGCAGCAGAAGACATGTGCTTCACAAATAGCCATAAAAAGGATCAGCCCCACCTTCCAAAGCCTCAAACAATTAGTGCTCCATGCCTAGGGTCAGCCCCACTAGGCTGCACTCCTAAGAGAACTGACAATAGCCTTGTAGGCCTGAGGCGTATCACAACTGTAAGCTCCTGAGCCTGGTAACCAGCTACACTGGGTACCAACCCAATTAAGAGGAAAACTGCAATAGGAGTGTGCTGATAGACTTTGTAACCAATGGTGCTGAGGCTCCCCAAACAGGATTTACAAACATCTAGCCAGGGAAAGAAAGACTAGACTCCCTGGGTACCTCAGTAAGAGCAATGCTGCCACAGCAGAAAGACACAAGTAGCCCACAAAGTGGTCACTCCTGGATCATTTGGACTGGTAACAAGAGGGAAGCACACTGCTGGGCCTCATAAGGCATCTCATAAAAGGCCACTCCTCCAAAATCAGCAGACGTAGCTGACTCACCTAATACATAGAAATAAGCACAGAGAAAGAGGCATAATGAGGAGACAACAGAATACTTTTCAAACAAGGGAACAGGACAAAACCACAGAAAAAGGGCTAAATGAAACAGAAACAAGCGACCTATTGACAAAGAGATCAAACAAAATATAATGAGGATGCTCACAGATATGGGAAGAAGACTGGATGAGCACATTGAGCACATCAGCAAAGAACTGGAACATATAAAGAAAACAATCAGAAAGGAAGAATACAATACTGGAAATGAGAAATTCACTAGAGGGACTCAATAGCAGAGTAGAGGATGCAGAAGAACGGATCAGCAAGCTAGACAAAAGACTAGAGGAAATCACCCAAGCAAAACAGAAAAAAAGAAAAAACAATTAGACAGAATGAGAACAGTCTAAGGGAACTCTGGGACAATATCAAGCATGCCAACATTCAGATTATAGGTGTCCTAGAAGAAGAGAGAGACAGAGGAGCAGAAAATTTATTTGAAGAAATAAAAGATGAAAATTTTCCTAATCTGGAGAAGGAAACAGACATCCAAGTTCAGGAAGTACAGAGAGCTCCAAACAAGATAAGCCCAAAGAGGCCCACACCAAGACATATTATAATTAAAATGCCCAAAATTAAAGACAAAGAGAGAATCCTAAAAGCAGCAAGAGAAAGGCCATAAGTGACATATAAAGGGAAGCCCATCAGGTTATCAGCAGACTTCTCAGCTGAGACCCTATTGGCCAGAAGAGAATGGCAGGACATATTTAAAGTGCTAAAATGAAAAACCCTACAGCCAAGAATACTCTATTCATCAAGGTTGTCATTCAGATTGGAAGGAGAGATAAAGGGCTTCCCAGACAAGAAAAAATTAAAGGAGTTTATCACCATGAAACCAGTTCTACAAGAAATGCTGAAGGGACTTATTTAAGTGGGAAAGCAATGATCACAAATAGAGATAAAAAAAAATATTGTCAAAAAAAACAAAACAGCAACAACAAAAAACAGGCAATAAAATAACCTGTAAAGGTAAAAATATAATAAAGGTAGCAGATCAAGTACCTGTGAAGATAATATGAAAGTTAAAAGACAAATGTACTAAAATCACCTATTTCAATGATAAGAGGGTAATGGATAGACACACACTAAACAAGTGACTATATATGATTTCAAAAACATAAAATGTGGGAGGAGGGGAGTGAAAAAGTAGAGCTTTTAGAAAGAGGTCAAGCTAAAAGTTCTACCAACTCGATATAGTCTGCTATATACATTGAATATTGAATAGCATACTCATGGTAATCACAAATCAGAAATCTATAATAAGCAAGCAAGAAAGTAAGACAAAAGAAATCAAACATGTTCCTAAAGACAGCCATCCAAACACAAGGGAAGAGAGCAAGAAAAAAAGAATGGAACAGAGAAGAACTACTAAAATACCCAGAAAAAAAAGGAATAAAATGGCAATAAATACATATTTATCAATAGCTACTTTAAACGTCGATGGATTAAATGCTCCAATCAAATACCATAGGGTGGTGAGTTGGAGAAAAAAACAAGACCCATGTATTTGCTGCCTACAAGAGACACACTTCAGACCTAAAGACACCCACACACTGAAAGTGAAAGGATGAAAAAAGACATTTCATGTAAATGGGAAAAAAAAGAAAGCAGGGGTAGCAATACCTATATCAGATAAAATAGATTTTAAAACAAAAACTGTAACAAGAGACAAAAACAAGCACTATATAATGGTAAAGGGAACAATCCAACAAGAAAATATAACACTTGTAAATATCTCTGCACCCAACATAGGAGCACCTAAATATATAAAGCAATTATTAACAGACATAAAAGGAGAAATAGACAGTAACATAATAATAGTAGGGGACTTTAACACTCCACTTACACCAATGGATAGATCATCCAAACAGAAGATAAATAAGGAAACACTGGCCTTAAAGGACACATGAGACTAGACGGACTTAGGAGATATATAAAGAGCATTCCATCCAAAACCCACAGACTATACATTCTTTTCAAATGCACATGGAACATCTCCAGCATTGATCACATATTAGGCCACAAAACAAGTCTCAATAAATTTAAGAAGATCGAAATAATACCATGCATCTTTTCTGACCACAAAGGTATGAAACTAGAAATCAACTACAGGAAGAAAACCAAAAAAGCCACAAAAATGTGGAGATTAAAAAAAATGCTACTGAACTATGATTGGGTCAATGAAGAAATCAAAGGAGAAAACAAAAAATTCCTGGAGACAAATGAAAATGAAAATACCACTTGCCAAAACCTGTGGGATACAGTAAAAGCGGTTCTAAGAGGGACGTTCATAGCAATTCAAGCCTACCTCAACAAAGAAGAAAAATCCCAAATAGACAATCTAAAAGCGCAACAAAGAACAGCAAAGAAAGCCCAAAATCAGCAGATGGAAGGAAATAATAAAAATCAGAGCAGAAATAAATGATATAGAGACTAAAAAAACAATAGAAAAGTTAATGAAACCAAGAGCTGATTCTTTGAAAGGATAAACAAAATTGACAAACCCTTAGCTAGACTCACCGAGAAAAAAAGAGAGAAGGCTCAAATAAAAAATCGGAAATTAAAGAGGAGAGACTACAATGGACATCTCAGAAATGCAAAAGATAATAAGACAATACTATGAAAAGTTATATGCCAATAAATTGGATAATCTATAAGAAATGGATAAATTCTTAGAAACATACAACCTTTCAAAACTGGACCAAGAAGAAGTAGAAAATTTGAATAGACCCATCACCAATAAGGAGATCGAAACAGCAAT